TGGCTTTTACTATAATAAAAAGATGAAATTCTTGGACAAAAATCATCATGATTTGATAATCTCGATTAATGATCACTTTGTTGGTCTATTTTGAGTTTTATGTTGGTACTTTATAGTTTTCACGTTTTTGCCGGAAAATTTATTATTGGCTAGAGATAACCGATTTACACGTCGAGTAGAAAATGATTATGTTTTGTCGCAGAACATTTTCATTGTAGTTTACATTACGGCTAGATGTTTAGATGGTTAGTCCATTCTTTTTATTCGTTTAGAATTTTTTTAAAAAGATAAGAGATTTGTGGTACTGATTGGTGGGAAGATCTGCGAAAATTTTGTCTTTTGGTACTTTTGCTTCACTTTTGATTTTAGCTAAATCTGGAATTCATTGAAAGTTTTTTTTTTTTTTGACTCATGACATGACATGACATACATACATGCATATGGGCGTTTGTAAATCAAAAGTAACTTAGTTTAAATAATTGTTTTCTAATAAACTTTTATATATCCATTAAATTCATAAAGATTATCTTACCGTTAAGGTTAGATGGAAGCCTAGATTCCTCCTTTTCTATTGACAAACGTCCAAGGTACATTTTTATTTAGGGACGCTAATGTTTGGTCTGGTGGATCCCTAACAAATAAATCCCGTTTATGAAGCAATCAAACATATTGATCTTGTAATTTAATTAGATGTATTTAAACAAAGAAAGTTATGTTAGACATTCTATTGCAAGCCACTACAGATTATTTTGTTTCGCAAGTATCAGGTGTTTTTTTTTGGTTTTCATTTCAGAAGTAGGGATTGAACATTTCGATTTTGATATTCTCTAAAAAGTTTATTTGATTATTTAATTTATTTTTTTTCTTTATTTTTCTCTTTTTTTAGGTGATTTCTTTTCTTTTTTTTTTAATAGATATACAATTTATTTATTTTATTTGGACAGGTGGATGCTGCAGGCCGTAAAGCAATGCTCTAGTTTAAAAAAAATTTTTTTTTAATAACCTTTTGCAGAAAAAAAATTTTCACGTTCACAAGTTTCAAACTAGTACATTTTCCAAAAATCATGAGGAAAAAAAGCGATCTATTATCTTCTAAGCTATTTACTGTAATAACACGTTTCAATTCTAAAAACAGTGACAAAAGCTGTAATACAATTT